TAGCAACTCTTTCTTAACTCGATCAAGGTGACTTGTGCAGAACCTGCCGTCGGTTCCTCCCTAACAGAGTTAGGGTCCTGTCGCGAGACAGGTGTACCCCACTGCGGCGCATGGGATCGCTAACGACTGGGTCACCGACCTGTCCACTCTCTCCTTTGAGAGTGGGCTCAATGTTCAGTCTGGCCACAGTAAGGGTCTTCTGCGGAAGATTCGAGCTGTGCCCTGTAGGGACCGGGGTCACTGAAAAGGTGACTAAGACTTACCACTCCTTTTTTGGTTTGTCTTCCCTGTTATTGGTAACAATGACGGGGTCCATCACGTGTGGGTTGCCTTGGTTGGGTGTGGTGAACATCTTGGGTGAAATGAATGGGTCCGTCTCCACGTCCACTTGGGTAGTACGGGTTACTCTGTACTTCCTTGGTGGAAATGAATGGGTTCGGTCCCACGTCACTCGGTGTGTGGATCCACTCCTTCCTTTGCTTCTCTTGGCACGTGGTGTGGAAAGGGGAGCGCCCCTGGCTGCGCCAGGTGTGTCTCTGGCCACTGGTAGAGGTCATCTGAGGAGCCTGAGGGTGCTGAGAACATGGTGTATGACTGGAATCCTGAGTTGGGCAGGATGCAGAACTATCGGCTGCTCAACGACTCTGACGACGCCTATAGCGGTGAAGAGTATTTCCTGGCAACACCTAGAGGAAGCTACAGAAGGAGATACAGGAGGACCAACTCAGAAAGAGAGGAAGATGAAGAGCAGATGGAAGTGGATGAGACAGGTCCAAACGATGCAGAAGGTGAAGGAGAAGTTGACCGAAGCAGACCACCAGTGAATGCGGACTGGTGGGACTTCGAAACTTTGTTTCGATACCAGAAGAATGCAGCCCGAGAGAGACGTGCTCGAAAGCTGAAGGAGGCAGGACTTTTCACTCCGCAGCTACTCAAAGAGTTTTTGCGTACTAGGTTGGCTGCTAAGCACTCGGCTTTGTTTCCCCACATGGCCTTCGATCACATCCTTTCATGGAATCGTGAAGAGCGCACCCAGTTTGCACAGTTTGCAGTGATCGTGATAAGTGGCCAGTGGGAAGAAAACTGGGACGACCGAGTTGCTCGATTTTTTGAGACCGGCGAGGTCTAGTTTGGTGAAGGCAAGGCTTTCAGCCGCCTTCAGGCGGAGTGTCAAACTTTTATGGCACATCCATGTTCAGGTTGATCACCGGCCGACAGTGGCCCAAGCTCACGCGAGGCAAAACGGTCGCGTGCCCTGCTGAGCTTTTCACATTGCATGCTGCAGACCTTGCTTTTTATCACTACCACCTGACCTTTACCGATTTCACTTCTGTCGACGGCCCTTCTCACTTGCATTTTCTACCACAGAGAGTTAGTTGCCGCACCTTCTTCCTACCATCCCTTGTTGCTCTTGGGCGGTCTAGCGGGACGCGCTGCGATGGTTGTGTTCCAGGGATCTGACGAGCAAAGCCATCGCTTCAGAGACCTTGGACATCGTTCAACTACTAGGAACAAAGGGCATCGCCAATAGGAGCAAGGACGCTACTAGGGGCGGTCCTGGCCTTACTACTAGTTACAAGAAGCTACTTGGAACAAAGGGCATTATTTTTAGTCGCATTCTCACTACTAGCAACAAGAAGCTTACTACAAGTTTTACTACTAGTTTCATGGCGGAGATAGCGAAGGATGCTCTGCACTTGTTGAAGCACCTGAAATTGTTTGGCACATTTGGCTCAAACTGTATTGATTACAAGGTTGCTGCTCGGCCTTTCAATGGGTTTGGATCTGATTCCCATCACAGTGGCAGCTACAGTGACATGTGTCTTCAAAAGCACAAGTGTCGTGTAGAACCGTGTTTTATGGCAGGTTATGGTGCTTGTCGTTGTTACCCTGAAACTTTGCTTGAAACCATTTCGTTGCTTGGTATTGAGGCGGGCCAGGGCCATGGCTCCTGATTCTCGTGCTTGCCTTGAGTTAGTGGCTAGTGTTGATTTGCTGTGAACCCATACTTCAGCATTTTGATTGCATTCTCTTTTCTCACTGCAGTTGAACCAGATTTGGGCACATGATTTGTTTCTTGTGCGAGTCACTTTCAACGCCAGACAATTCAGACAATTGAGGATTCCTGTGCCTTCTTCTCATATTGCAGGCTCAACTTCATCCCAAACTAGCGTGGTTGAAATCTGGCAAAAATTTGAAGATCCGGGGTTTTGTGCTGATCTGCTCCTGGTATGCCAGGTGAAAGCGAGTCCTCCATGTGCCAAAGAGGGTGTGATCTACAAAGACCCAGAGGCTCAGTGATGTGGGTTCCTTGTGGAACAAGTTGAGGGGACGAAAGGTTTGAACACCATGTGCGCCAGCAGAAGAGCAACCTGATAATTGAAGGTGGCCATATCTTCAGGGATGAACTGTGCGGTCCAGTGATCATTCAGTGAGGGTTGGATGTTTCTGCCGAGAATTTGAAGAGGTTAGTTACGGTTAGTTCCTGTGTATGCTTAATAATGCTTATTATGTTGTTGGATTTGGAACATCTGGTTTTGCCGGCTTCTCTTTGACAGGTCTCCGATGTGGGCCCCAATGGTGCATGGGTTTTGGATGCCGACCAGTGCCAGAATTCCTGCGAAACCAGACCGTGTGCACCCCATTTGGAGTCTTCAAATGAAGGAGAGTAGAACCTGGAGGAGCATGGGTTCAGCCTACTGAATACACCGGATATGCATGCATCCAGCCTACTGAATTGTGCCAAGGTCCTGTTCCTATTTCTCCTTTGTCCCCAGCAATTTGTGTGGCTGCCTGGTACGAGATTTGCTGGAGAGATATTGCAGCACGCAAACTGCTGTCCTGTTTCTGCACCAAGAGCTCTGAGGCCAGGAGCAGGTGAGTGCTGGCTTTTAGGCAAGAATGCCAAAGCAGAAGAGAGAAAAGGAGTCATAAGTGGTCCGCAGGTGGGGCTGCACATTTTCCTGTGCTTGCTTTTCCGATCAACCAATCAGAATCGTTTACTTAACAGGAGACCAAATCCGTCAAACGCAAAGCTTGCAAAAATGCCATAAGCTACTCAAACTAGAAACCCATGACATACGTTGAACATGTTGCCAGAATGCAAGCCTTGTGCCAGGTTTGTGCTGAGGCTGGAACTTGCGCAAGTGTTTTGTGGACGAAACCAGCACCAAATTCTAGTAGGTGGAAGAGATGGGCAGTGCGAGAAGCTGCCTAGATGTTTTCACAGTCACTGATGAATTACAGCCTGGAGAGATCCATTTCAAGCAATTTGATTTTCAGAGACCCCAGTTGCTTTCCACACAGACACATTTTTTTTGTTGCACAGGATCGAGTCAGCTCGATCAACGCATGCGGCATGCTTGAACACCAATGCTGCCAGGCTAAATTTGTTGAGTAGGAAACCTTGTGGGGTCATGCTTTGTGTGTTTTTTTCTGTTCGATTGCTTGTTTTCCAAGGCCCATCCCACTGGAGTGCCGAAGGTGCCGGAGGCTTTCTCTGCCACTTGGAGTCAGAGTTTACGTCCTCGGACGGGTGCAATCGTGATGGGCCCCGCAGCGATCTGAGGTATTTCAGGCCAATCCGTAGGCGCGTGCCGCCAAGCAGTACACGGACCTTTCCCGGCCTCAGACTGCCAGGCCGCTCTTGAGCCATTCATCCAGCCGGGCCTACATGACAAACTCCCCCCACTTCACTTCCTTCGAATGGGCTGGACATATTTTGTTGTACTTGCAAGATGATGTTTATTGTTCTCCAACATGTTATATTTTGTTTCAAACGCCTATATAAGCACGGAGAATGAAGCATGTTGCTGTCATTCAATATGTTTGATGAGAATTCTGATTGGCCAGGCACAATGTAGCAACCTGGCAGCAGAATGTAATGGTTCCTCCCGTGTTCTTTTGCAGGCAAAGTGCAAAAGAGTCTTAGGCTGTAGCTTGCTACATTAGTGCTGGTTTGCGTAGTTATTTGGCTTCGGACTTTGCCAGCCCTTGCTGGTTTCTTGTTTTGCTTCAGGCATTGGCAGTGTCGACCCAAAGGATTTGCAGGCGACAATGTCAAACTTGCATTTTCGGGCTATGGCTTCTACGCTGCTATTAGTGAGAAAGGCATCAGATCAATCTGGCAAAATACAAACATTCTTTCCTTCCATCAGACTGAGAAGCCCTTTGTGAGAGGAAGCCGCGAAAGAAGAGGAAGCTGCAGCCAAGGCATCCAAGCAAGGAATAGCCTTTTTGGGTGGAGGTTGGGGTAAACTCTTTATTGAACCACCTTCCTATGTAGGCAGGAACTGCTGCGGCATCCGAGGTCTGGATGAGAAACCTTCACATGTACTTGCATAGGAAAGCTGGCAAAATGGGCCTGAACATTTTGCATGCACAGGCACAGGCCCAAGATGACAAGGGAGAAGATGGCAAGGAGCCTTGTGACTGCTTCACAACGGGGCATGGATTGCATGCTTTAGAGTCAAGGCGCAACCATCAAGCGAGTCACACTTGTTGCAGAATCTGAACACGAGCGAGGATGCAGAACACTCCAAAGAACAGTCTGGCTACTATTACGGAACGGCAGACTATGGTGGCTATGGAGATCATCAGGCGCATTGTACGAGAAAGCAAGAACGAAAACGTAAAGAATCAGATGTGCTGTTGGGGGCGGCGAAGCAAACACTTGTGGGTCATCACGCTTTTCCTTCACCCTCAAAATCATGTGAACTAGCTGATGTGAATGGTGCAGTTGTGAGACCAAAAGAGGAGTGTGATTTTGAAGGCTGAGATGGACGAGTGTGGAGACAGTGGCGCACACTGCACCTTGGCATGTAATTGTAATATGATTTGTTTTCTGCGGGTACTAACTGCTGGCTGACTTTTTCTGAAAGGACCACATGGACAAAATGCCAGGGATGCAATCGTGATCTGTCAGCACAACGAGCATCACTCAAATTGTTTTGAAGCCAGTACTTCGATTGCTCAGTGTGCAACACGATCCTGACCACACACCATGCGGTCCAAGACAAACGCCCAGCAAAAACAATTTGCTAAACTGCGCAGAAGAAAGGCAAATTCAGAGAGGTTGATGTAGTTAATGCAAATCCGTTGAGAAGCATTGTGAAGTTCACAGAAAACACATGAGGCTTGGAGAAGGATCAGACATGATTTCACAACTGGAGAACAATTTTGGTGCTTCGTTGGCTTGGGTTTTTGAATTTCTATCCAGATTCTAGCAGACTACTGTACTGGCCTGGAAAGGACACCAGCCGCATGGGAAAGTATGAGGTGGTGAAACAAGGGAAACGCAAAAAAAAGTGGAAACTGCAATTTTTTGTCGGGATAAATATCAAAAAGTCTTGCTGGTTCTTGTTTGGGTGGCGCTTGGTTTGGTCCATGCCACGCTCTTTGCATCGGTCCATTGCGCGACACAAGCGGTCAATCGCCACAAGAGCACGGCCAAGCAAGCCCACTCCCGGAACAAACCGGAACAAACCATCCAAAAGGTCGTGAACCTTGTCAAAGTCCAGTGCTATTGAGAGACCTTTGAATCTCCCACGCAAGAGAGACCCTGCTATATGTGCCCTCACAAGAGTCACACCAAGTCCAATCCGTGCCCGAAGGTCCGATAGTCTTTAAGTCCACCAAGAAGGTTCCGAAAACAGATCTCAAACCGGAAAATCAACAATCTAAGTGTGGCAAACCTTTTTCAATCTCAAGTGGCTAAAGTTGCTTCTGAATCCTCCATAGACACTGCCTGCAACAATATACATTGAACCTGCCCAAGGGTCTCAAACCTAGTTAAAGATGTTGTGTGCCCCTAGCTTTGCTTCTTCAGTCCCATAGAAAAACTGCTTTTAACTGACCCTCGCAAGACTCTCAGACAAGACAAGCAAGAGACATGCCCAGAGAGCCAATAGCAAACATATTTGCCGTGCCCAAACGTTTTAACAGGGCCTGTGCAACACAAGTCCTCTCCGGGCGTGCTTCCCCCTGCTTCTGTTGTACCTTCATGAATGAATTGTGCTCAGATGCCAGTTGAGGTCCTTCGCACTGGCTCGAGGATGCAAGTGGAGGCTACCTTTGTATCTTGCCTTTGTTTGCTCCATTGCAAGATGCAAATGATCTCACTTCGGTCACACGATCATTCGCCGGTTGGAACTGATTTCGATATGATCGTATGATCGTATGATGGAACAGTTGGAGGTCTTGTGTTTTTGAAGTCCAGCGGAAGATTTTGGAGTTGAAGCATGTTTGGGTGCCACAGTCCCCTTCTGGCCACAGTCTCTCGGTCTCTCTCCGAGGTAAGTCAGGCCACGCTCGAGGCGTGTGCCGCGAAGCTCACAGGGGACCATTCCCATCGCATGCTTGTGAGGCACGCTGTTGGTCACTGCAGTCGGTCGCCATGTCAGTTTTCACACGTAATGTTTTTGCAGTAGGGAAGTGCATGTGAGTTCTGTCATCTCCCCAAGACCAAACCTAGGATCCTTATTCTTCCGCCCAGCATGCTTTATGGGGGTAAGGCTTCCTTGAATCACCTCACTCTTTTTGTGCTCACTTTCACCTTGGATGACTCACCCTTCAGCCATGGCTCTGCTCGATTCATTTCTTACTCCTTACACATATTTGATGCCTGATGAAACTGAGCTTCTGTGCAGGAGCAGTGCAGCCACTTGGCAGAATGCAGTGGTTGAGACTTGTGTCACGGGCTCTACCGTGCCCAAAGCCTGCCAAGTTCCAACCCCCATAAGCCAGCAAGCCAGCTTTTCGCTGAGTGAGGTGGGTTTGTTGCAGATTGCAGTAGATGAAACGCATGCGAAAACTCCACCGGGTAGACGGACACCAGGCATTGGTGCTGTCCAGGGCTTGGAGGCGACTCAGCTCCAAACTTTAAGCTGCCTGTTTTGGCAAGATGCAAAATCTTTGAACTTGTTTTGCGGCCATTGATGGAACTTGCAAGTTATGAGCGATTCGATTGCTGAACGTTGTTTCAGTGCCGACCTTCTGTTTACCTTGCACAGTTTGGGGTGTATCACAGCCACGGAATTACGCCTGTAAGATAGAAGCAGCGGCTGTCCTTTGACGCATTTTGTTGTGATTGTGAGGTGGATTCATCAAATGCTGAAGTCCTAACCACGTGGCTGGTGGACCGCAAGCAACCTGATGCCAGCTGGGAACCACGGACCTTGACTTTGCCCAAGAAACCTCTGTCCGAACAAGAAGAGCTGCTTCGGATACAGAGGATTTGGAAGGACAAGATTCCAGCGGCAGAGATCTTCAAAATCCATGTGGTGGAACCCTTGATCAAAGATTATCCAGGCAGACCATCTCTCCATGTCCTGGTGGAAAGCAATCCACTTGAAAGCTCAGACCGTGCTCCTGTCCTCATGGAGGTGAAGGGCCCCAGTGATGTTGGACATTGGCGTGCGGGTTTCGTTCAGACCCCTGCGACTTTGGACACCATGAAGGCTGACACTGGACACTTGCCAGATGGTGCTCTGGTCACCGTGTATGACCAGCAGCTGGAGGATGGCACCTCCAAAACAGTCATGCCCGGTGACCTCATCACGATTGTAGAACCACCCAACGCGAAAGATGCTTTCTCCAGTAGCTGGACGACGGGTCACGAGAAAGAAGGCCAGGGGAAGAAAAAGAAACGCAGCTCAAGCGAGCAGTTGTGTTGGTAGATGTGAGGTGTTTGCAACCTTTTCTACACTTGCAACCTTTTGTTTAGTCGATACACTGAGACGATGACGATACACTGGACAGAGACGACCGACCTCATCGTGCAGGTGACATCTCAGAGCGTTTTACCGAGAAGATGATGGAATGGGGTCATAAGCTGACCGTGCTCGAGAAAAAGATCCTGAAGGTGATCACAGATTCAGCTCCTCCGAAACAGCAGAGCAATCAGGCCGGAAAAGACTGGGAGGGGGGACTTCTTTTTGGAGAAGATATGACAAGACCGTCCATGATCAGACTGTTAAGTTCAAGAAGAGCGCCCAATGAATCATACTTTTATGATTTGTCTTGGAACTGTCTGTTGCTTTGTACTGCTGAGATTGCTTGGGCAGATCGATCTTTCCAATCATTGTTGGAACGAATCTTGATGATTGGCTGAGGATGGGGAAGATTCAGGCTTCAAGAAGGTCTTGCCATGCGTCTCTGATAGTGCTCACCAGTGCTGGGACTTCAGATTTCGTCAATCTCGAGTCATCCTAGTCCACATTTTTGAGCTTTGGACCATCGTTTGAAGAGACTGTTGGAATTCTTTAGTTCAACAATTCCCTTTTGCAGAGACCCTACTCTCTTTACAATTTTTGGACATGCTGAAAACATATGTACTGTAGTAGATTTTGTTGACATCCGTTTATTGATAGTTTTCCACAGCTGTACTTCCTAAGACTCAGCCATACTATGCTGCTGTAATCATTTCTTAAGCTGGGCCACCGCAGCTGATTTGTTGGGACATTCACGGTAGAGCTTCTATGGTCCGCGGACCTCCAAGCAAGTGAAAGGCATGCGCTGCCAATGCCCTGCAACTTTTGTCCTATGCCACGCCCACATCCTTTCGTCCACTTCTTTTTTCTCTGCTCCCCCTTCATAGAGTACAGAATGCATTGTTAAGAGCAAGATCTCTAAACTACACAGGGATTCACGTAGAGTCTTCACGTGCACTAACTGACCAGCTGGTGTGATAGGGATCAACGGCGGTTCCACAGGTTCAAATTGTCCCAAATGGTACCTAATTACCTAATTGGCTTTGTGGCTCTTGGCCAACTTGTGGAGAGTGATGAACTTCCGCATTCTTTCCTAAGCAAGACCACCTGATGAATCTGCAAAAACAATTGAACACAAAAGGACCAAGAGTGCACTGTGGAAAGTGCAGGGTGGATCATGAATTCCCACGATTTGTAATGTCTATATAAGCATGGGCAGAAAGAGAGTCAGATGGATATTTACATATATATATATAATATAGAGAGAGAGAGATGGATAGAGAGAGAGAGAGAGAGATGTAGTACTTATACTCTGTGTTAAACATGGAACTTGTCTTTCAGGTCCTCAAGACTGGGCCAGTGGAGCGAGCGGTGGCTACTTCTGCCGCTTGGCTCGTCGGAGCCGAGAGACCGAGAGACCGAGAGAGTGGGGACTGGGGCGGTTTTGGGCACCGGAGGCCACTCCAATAGCGGTTGCCGGGCAGCGGACCATGGACCTTTTCCGTCCGAAGATTGCGAGGAGCGAACTGGAAAAACGCTGAAATGGAATGAAGACCCTTTTTGGTTCCATCTAAGCAGGAACTTGGCAAAACTGCTTTGAACGTGTCTAGAATCTAGCATCTGGCTCACAGGCGCAATGCTCTATTGGCCAAGTCTTTGTGGCAGGCACCCTGCACTTCACATTGCTGAAGCTTGAAACGCATCAGATTTCTGCTTGATGAATTACTCCTGGTTCCTGTTCCTTGAGCTATATATTTTGGGCCAGGCGGTGGCGATGTGGCAGTTCTTCGGCAGAAACCTTCTTCCACGTTTCACTTGTGTTGACGCCCTGGGGTGATTGGTCTCGAACCGTGAGCTTTGATCACCTCTCGCGTTCCTGTGCCATCCAACACTGGACACACGTGCAAAACCTCAAACCAAGATCAGCACAAAGAACTAACCCCATCTCGGTGGTGAACTGCTTCGCAAAACCCAAAATACGAAAAGAACAACTCCCAGAAACCTGACCACCTCTTTCTCCCTCAAGGATTCAAGTGGTCCACCAACTCCACGTTCACAAACCCATTGAAAGTGGTGTGAGTCGGTTCTTCGAGATGTTCTAACAGTGAAAGCGCGGCAACTGGAGTCCTGCAACGCGTTGTAGAAGGCTGACCAACCATCGCAAAAACAGCTTTCCTTGGTGCAATCATCAACATTGGGTCAACTTCTAAGGCTCCCAGCATCAGCTCTAGCAATGCAGTCGTGCTGTTTTTAGGTTCAAGACTCACACGTGCCCGGTCAAGGTGCCTTTCAATTGTTTGTTGAACCTGAACCTTTGGAAGACTCATTGGAGTGCAGCGAAGAAAAGCTGGTGCTGTGAGAACTCCGTAGAGGGCCAGGTGGCTTGTGCCAAGGAGCGCGTGGGTTCTCGCAGTTCAAATGCGAGGCTTCTAGCAGCGAGGCGTCCTTGAACAAGCCTTGTTTTCTTGCCTCCGTTTCATGAACCCTGTAGCACCAGCTACAGCAACTCAAAAGGAAAAACAAGTTGAGTTGATATAGTGGCGATTTCAATTCTCCACCGTGTCATGCTTTGTTTTCATCGAATTGAAGCTGTTTCAGTCTTCTTGGGGTCTCACGGGGTTTCAGGAGGAGTCTCATTCCGGAATTCTTCGACGATGTCCTGCAGATCTGAAGACTTCATGTTGCTTGGACTTGAGAGTTTCATCACTTTTTCCTTGAAATCGACTTGGGAGTCTAGTTGAAATTCCTGATGTTATGCTGTAGAACTCTTCTCGCTCTTGCCAAGCAAAGACAAAAAAAGCGGTCCTCCAGTTGGAACGTTGATTATTTCTTCAGTGATTTTCTTTCGCAAAGCCGCAGAGCCGCAGAGCCGCCGCAGAGCCACAGAGCCGCCAATTCGCTGAGGCCCAGAAGATTGGACCCAGCCGCGGTCTGGCGGAGGTGGTTTCTATTGTGGCGGCCCCAGCAACAAGGCCCTTAGGCTTGGACTTGGTAAACACTTGGTAGAAACTCTCGGAGTCCTTACATGGTCGGACAGGCCTTGGCTTTGCCTTGGCATCCGAATTTAGGATCGAAGTGTGTTGTAGGTCGAGAAGCCATGCTTGATTCGAAAGATCCCATGACCCTAGTAACAAGGACGCTACTATTAACAAGTGCCACGCTAGTAGTAACAAGTGCCTTACTAGTAGTAACAAGAAGCTACTATTAACA